GGGGGGGGGGGGGGGCGGCGGCACTTCCATTGCATGAACCTTGGGGCAGACGCGGTCTCTGCTGCGTGTTTGAATACTCCTCCAGAGGTCCAGGCCGTGAGCCCGAAAGGTGTGCTAAATGTACGCGAGGTAGACCACGGCAACAATGCCGCGGTCATTCGGACAACAAAACAGCCTCTGCTGCTTCTTATGGGGTGGAAAATACCACAGCATTCCCAGCCGGCACCAGGTAAAGGCTAGCTACAGCTGGGAGACGGGTTAGACGGGGTTCGGCCACTCCCGAGCAAGGCACGGTGAGCGGAGAGAGGCGGAACCACAGCCGCTCGGGCCGGTTCTCATGGTGTGTTTTTCGTTGAGAGAGAGAGCTGCGCCGATCTCGAGCTAAACTTGCGAATGTCGCAAAAGGCAACAACGCAAACCCCCTGTGGCCCAGCACAAGCGCGTTTCAAGCAAGCCCAGACTCAGCTACACTCCGGCACACACGGGGGGTGGTATGCACCAGGTACAGCTAGCCAGCAGCACAGGTGGTAAGAAGAGCCTTGCGGTGAGGCACGTGTGAGTTCAGGTATTGTTGTTTGAGCTCGTTCGACGAGCATGTCGCATCTTTAGCGGAAAATGCCACAAGCGTAATGACATACCTCTTGCGGGGATTCTGCTTTCGCCTCTGGTGCGGCGAATTCCGACATGATGCGTGTGCTTTCGCCCTCTCCCCGTCTTCTCTCGTTGCGCTCTCCGAGAGCTTCCTTCCACACCAAGCCAAAGCTGATGATGTGATGTGTGGTGCTCCGACGGAAAGGACTCGTGTGTGCCTTTGTACCGCTCTCGATCTTCCGGTATACTCCCGCTCAGATGCTACCGCTCAAGCCCAGCTCTCGGTAACCAGCAAAGCTATCGGCCTTCCCGTTCCACTGCTTTCAGTGGGCTTGCAAAGGCTGCGTGCGGCTCTGTCACAGCAGTGCAACGCGGAGCGCGGATTAAGAGAGGACCACTTGGGGGATCCGCGGATGTACTTTTGTCAAGAAGTTTTGTGTTGTGTCGAAGCGTTTTTGGACAGGGGCGGTGCGGAGGTAGCCATGTGATTGTGAGCTGCCCCTTTGCACTTCGCGGACCGCAAGGCAACCCTATACGAGGGCGTCAGACGCGTACGGTGGAGAACGACGTACATTATGGGAAAGTGGAGGGCTTCATGCGTCTGGCTGCTGCTGTCGCTGTGCCTGCCTAGCCTGCATGTCCTAGCACAGGATGGTCAACAGGTAAAGAGTAAAGAAGGGGGTCAAGCTTCCACCGCAAGACAATTTGTTCTTGTTCTGTGTACAATTGTAGGACGCCGGCGGCCAACTTCGCGGCGCTGCTGGTTGTGTAGAGGAGACGAGACGGGGGAGAGAAGGAGTTTCTAACGCCAAATAAAACTACAGCAGTGGTGGTGCTTTGGAATTTCGAGACCAGGCAACCTTACATGGACTACGGGATTTGTAGCCAAGAGAAAGCACTACTGAAGCAAGTTCTACCGCCAGTGGGCTGCGCACCCCAACCCGATTTACTCCGCGACCAGCAGTGGCAAGAGGGTGCCATCGTGCCAACGAGGCAGTGCCAAAGACCCAAGGGAGGAATGTCCTTGACGAGCCGTTTCCAACGCCACCGCTTTCGGCACAGCAACCGCTGCTGATGTTTGTGCCGCAGAGTCGTCGGGCTTCGTGAAGTTCGGTCCGGGGGGCGTGGTATCTTACGCAGCCTGCGAAGGTTCATGAAGTTCATGAAGCGTCTAGGCAACTTGCCCACAGTACGTTTGTAGTGATTGCGAACCAGACTGCTACACTGCTATACCTATAGAATGTATCTGACCAGACGTCACGTTTCGGCTCTCCGCTCCTCACGTGTCTCGTCGTATGAATAGCTTGTTAGCTTGTTTCTTTCTGTCCTGTAACGTATCAGGCACTCCCGGCACACCCTCGTACCTATCGTTGCAGGACCGCCCCGACGTCACACTCTGCCTTGTCTTTTTTCCGCCGAACAGAATACCCCTCTATGGTGCTCGCCTTGCTTTCTTCCTTGCTGCGCTGCCGCAGCCACCGCTCTGCGCTCTCTGGACTCTGCATGTCAACCGGTGGATACCCCTTTGTGCTGTCCCTGCCGCCCGCTCCTCTTGCCTCAGTGCCTTGCCCCCCCCCCCCCCCCCCC